CTTGTGAAGTTCAAAACAGTAAGACTTTATGGGATTCGTTTTTAGTCGGCCCTGGGTCTTGAACTCGGGGCCTGGGCGCTGTCCCCGAGCTCGTTCCCTCGAGGCGGGCGCTCTACCACCCGAGCCACAGCGCCACGTGGGGTTTTCTGGTGGTTCCTCGGAGGTCAGAGTCTCATGGACTTTCCTGCCCGGGCTGGCTTTGAACCCCCATCCTCAGATCTCAGCCTCCTGAGAAGCCGGGATGCCAGGCGTGAGCCACGGTGCCCGGCTACACTGAGACCTTTTAAGGAGTTTCCTCTCCTTCACCTTTGCTGGTTAATCCTGATGATGAACGCCTTCTGAAAATAGTTCATCGCGCTCCTAGATGCTCTCTCAATACACCCACTTCTGGGTGAATTGTGCCCTCCCTCCCCCCCCCCCCCCTTTAGAGCACCAGTGTGCAGAGTCCTTGAAAATGTAGACTAAGAAAATGGATCTAAGAGTGATTTTTCTCTTCCCAGCTTGGAAACAAGGATCATATCAATATTCTTCAGCTCTGTTGGGAGTTAGTTACCAGTGCAGTAGCAATCATTTGTAATTTCTGGGTGTGTGGTGCTGAGGAATCTAACCCGGGCTTCATGCATGCTGGGCAAGCACGCTACCCCTGAGCCACCTGCCCAGCCTGTTGTTTTGTTTCAATTGTCCGAGGAAATGTGTTTCTCAAACACAGAGAAGTAGAATAACTACACACATTTTTTAAAAATGACCTATCATTTGAAATAAAGTTTCTGGTACGATGTATATATAATTGAGTGTACATCTTACATAATCAAGAGGAGACTAGTTGGCCAGGTTCGGGTTTTAGCTGAGTTTTCTGTCGTGTGGTGTGGTACTGGGATTAGAACTCAAGCTTGTCAACCTGGTTGGTGCTTCTCCCCTCCGGAAGAGAGACGGAGTGTGCATGCGCGTGTGATTTTCCAGTCCTAGGGCTGAGACGGGCTCGCGCATCTATTTTAGTAGTCCTTTGATTGGTTAGCTGACAGCTTTGCATCTTCACATGCTATTTTTGCACGGATCCAACATCCTACCCACCCATCACTCCATCACTAGTCAATGAAGTTGGGGTGGCGGAGGGTGTGGGGAGGGGGAGAGATATAAAAGAAGACCCGGTTAGGTATGCATGGCCACGTGGCTTAAAATATTAGTCAGGAGCCCAGAGCGTGGCTCAAGTGGTTCAGCGCCCATCTAGAAAGTGTGAGGCCCCGAGTTGGAGCCTCAGGGTCACCAAAACATAAAAATGGATCAAAGCTGAGGAAAGCAATCCGCCCTTTTCACCGCTCTTCCTTCATACTTGCGTGCGCACACACGGGAGTTGGGGTGTGAGTTTTGCAGTGTCCCTTGATTTCTCCGGCGGGGCACCCCAATAATGTTGGCAGGCCCGCCCTGCACAACCAGGGGTGGGTCTCTGTGCAACGTGTTTGCCATTGCTTGACTGTCTGGCCCGGTTTCAGGCGATGGTTCTAGAACGTTCTTCTCTGCTTTCAGAGTGGACAAGATCCCTTCGGAAAGCGCCCCCCCTAAAGAAACCAATAACATCCCCAACCACAGACTGCTGGTGAAGCCCGAGGCGCAAAACAACCAAAGAAACAAGGACACGAGCAAACTGGACGACCGAAAGGCCTTAGAGGCGGAGAAGTACGGCTTCCAGATGGACGGCCACGAGCGGCCGCTGACCAAGATCAACAGCGTCAAGCTCACCCCCCTGCCGTCCGACTACGACGGGGCATCACTGTACCCCAGGCCCAGCACCACCTGCATCCCCGATGGCAGGCCGGCCAATGACCTCAGGCCTGGGGGTCACCCCGAATCCAGCCGCATCCTCCAGAGAACCAACTCCATGCTACAGCTGGGACAGTGGATTAAGATCCAGAAGGACAGGAGTCTGGAGGATGAACCCCGGGGGTGAGTGGCCACCCCAGGTTCTCCGAGATGGGCGGGGAATGGGGTGCTGAGTTACGGTGGTGCTGCGAAGCCGGGCTACGTATTACACTGGTAGTACGGTGCCCGTGGCTCCCGCCTGTCATCCCAGCTACTCAGGAGGCTGAGATCTGAGGATCGCGGTCCAAGGCCAGCCTGGGCAAGGAAAGTCCGTGAGACTCTTGTCTCCCATGAACCACCAGAAAACCGGAAGTGGCGCTGTGGCTCAAGTGGTCGAGCACCAGCCTTGAGTGAAATTGCTCAGGGACAGCGCCCAGGCCCTGAGTTCAAGCCCCACAACCAGAAGGGAAATGAAAACTGTGTATTAGCATGTATTTCATTTATCCAAAAACAAGAAAGCATGCTGATTTTAGAATTTGGGAAATAGCCCTCCTCCATATTTTGTGCTAGTCCTGGGGCTTGAACTCAGGGCCTGGGCGCTGTCCCTGAGCTGCTTTGGCTCAAGGCTGGTGCTCTACCATTTGAACCACAACGCCACTTCCGGTTTTGTCTGTATCTGTGGTGCTGAGGAATAGAACCCAGGGCTTCATGCATGCGAGGCGAGCGCTCTACCACTGAGCCACCTGCCCAGCCTCCTGAGCTTTTATTTTTTCTCAAGGCTAGCATCTGGCTTCATCCCAGTGGTTTACTAGAGATGAGATCACACACTTTCCTGCCGGGGCTGGCTTTGAAGCGCGATCCTCCCATCTCAGCCTCCTGAGTGGCAGGGACGGCAGGCGGGAGCCACGGCGCCCGGCCTCTCCTTCATGTTAACATTTGCATCATTTTTTTTTTTTCTTTTGTACCTTTAGCGTCATTTCTTATCAAACATTACCAAGAAACATGCCGAGCCACCGGGCACCGATGCTCGCCCGCTACCCCGAGGGCTACAGAACGCTCCCCAGGAACCCCAAGGCCAGGCCGGACAGCCTGTGCAGCGCGGCCCCCTCCCTGCACGAGCGGCCCGAGGAGAAGCGGCGCTCGGTGCGCGGCGACACCATGGCGCAGCTGTACCAGTGGCAGCAGCGGCAGGTGTGCGGCAAGCAGCCCACGCTGCCCCGGCCCGCCCCCGCCGAGCACGCCTCGCCCCCCCCCGCCCCCCTCCCCGCCTGCTCCCCGCAGCGCAGCCCCAGGCCCGGCCTGTCGCCAGAGGGGACGCCACCCTGGACCGCAGACACCGGCCCCACCACCCCAAGGTGAGCCCGGCCTCCCTGCCTCCCTCCCTGCCTTCCTTCCTCCCTCCCTCCTTCCTTCCTTCCTTCCTTCCTTTCTTCCTTCCTTCCTTTCTCCCTTCCTGCCCTCTCCTTCCTTATTTCCCTCCTTCCTTCCCTCTCTGCCTTCCTTCCCTCCTTCCTTCCTTCTCCCTTCTCCCTCTCCTTCCTTCTTTCCTTCTTTCCTTCATTTTTCCCTTCTCCCTCTCCTTCCTTCCCTCTTCTTTCCTTCCTTCCTTCCTTGCTTCCTCTCTTCCTCTTTCCTTCCTTCATTCCTGCCTTTTCCTCTCCTTCCCTCCTCTCCTTCCTTCCTTCTTTCTTCCTCCCTTCCTCTCTTTCCTTCCTTCCTTTCCTTCCTGCCTCTTTTCCTTCCTTCCTTTCTTCCTCTCCTTCCTTCTTTCCTTTTTCTCTTTCCTTCCTTCCTTCCCTCCTTCCTTCCTCTCCTCTCCTTCCTTCCTTCCTTCCTTCCTCTCTTCCTTCCTTCCTTCCTTCCTTTTTTCTCTTTCCTTCATTCCTTCCTTCCTTTCTCTCCTTCCTTCCTCCCCTTCTTCTCCCTCCCTCCCTCCCTTGCTTCCTTCCCTTCTTTTTCATGTGCTATTTCCCTGGGAGAGGTAGGAAGACATACTCTGAGTCAGCATCTGGTGGAGCTGGGCACTGTCGGGACTGAGATGTGAGGGTCGCAGTTCAAAGCCAGCCTGGGCCCCACCGCACCAGCAAAAAGCCAGAGGACGGAGCCGTGGCTCAAGCAGTAGCGCACCAGCCTTGAGCATAAAAGCTCAGAGACAGCGCCCAGGCCCTGAGTTCAAGCTCCAGGACCAGCACCAAAAAGGAGAGAGAGAGAGAGCCAAGCGGTTTTCCCTGCAGTCGGGAAGAAACGAAGGGCATGCGTTATGCTGCCTTCGTGTTTGCTGGCTGCGCCTAGAAGGTTCCCCGAGTCTGCTCCCAGGGACGGCGGGACCGAGCGTTGGCCAGTGCTATCTGGTGTCAGGAAGGCTTTGGGTTGGGAGAATCGGGCTTAGGTCAGTGGATTTGGGGCACTCCAGGCTTCGGGCGCCCCGAGCCAGCGTCTCGACCACGTGGAAGCGATGAATTTCTTAGGCGCATAAACAGACTGATGGACGCTCATGGGTCCAAGTATCAAAAGTCACAGCTAGGAGCTCCCAGACTGCTTTGCACGTCAACTTCCCCACGCCCCGTGCTCGCGCCACATTTGAAAAGCTCTCAGGCAATCTCAAAAGGTGAACGCCAAAATTCAAACAGCTGCTAAACTTGGCCTTTGCCAAGTAGCGCCATGGATCTAGGTGAATTTTCTTCCCACCCTTCCGCTGAAAGACACTGCGCAGAGAGGCGGAGGTGCAACTGTGAGAAGAATCAAACAAAGATTTGCACTAAGAAAAAGCACCAGCAAGGCCGCTTTTCATCTTAAAGATTGTAAAGAGGGCCGGGCGCAGTAGCTCACTCCTGTAATCCCGGCTCCTCAGGAGGGGGAGATTGGGAGGGCTGCTGGAGGCGAGCAGGGCGAAAAGCTAGTAAGAGCCCCACCCCCATCTCTCAGTGACTTTACGTACACACGCATACGCATGCGCACACACATGCACACCCATGCACACCTCCCCTCACCGCATCCTGTATCTTTCTCTCTCAGCACATGTACGTACCTGACAGAAGATCGATGCCCGCCAGCCTGACCCTCCCTTCCGTGAGTTCGCAGAGTCTCCAAGGGAAAACGGTGAGTCGGTGTCTAGTAAGGCCCAGTCTCAAAAGCAAAGAAATGAATGCAGTTTGCAGGAAGAACTTGAGATGCTATTGAACGCTGGGGTTCCGGGCAGGCGGCACCCCACACCGGCTTTCCTGTGAGTTGGGTCCAAGTTAACCACTTCTCATATCCCGAAGAAACCAGTTTGCATAGTTCCCCAGAGAAAGCAACACGGGGCCAGAGCCGAGCCACGTGGCACATACCTGTAATCCCAGCACCCCGTGGCTCATACACCACGGGAAGAAAGCCTTGAACTGTGACCTGGTCAAAGCCATGAATGAGATGGAACTCCACTCAAAGCACTTGACATCTTCACGCGGTCATAACTGTTTCATATCTTCATGTATCTTTTATTCTCCTCTTGACACACACGTTCTAGCCACGCGCAAAGAAATGGTGCCCGCTTTAAATAGTAACCCGTGTGTGAAAGCCGGTGTTGTGCTCCCCCTAGTGGGCGCTGCGGGTAGAACACCCCGCCACCCCCCCTGCCTTTCCCCCATGCACAGACGGACCAACGTCTGTCTGTCTTCCTCTTCCTCCTCTTCCTTCTTCTTCCACTGGCCGGAACTCACCTCTGCCACCACCATTCCCCCCCCCCCAACTGCTGAGCTGGAGGCAGAACTTGGGAAGTGATTTCAAATACCACTGGAAGAATGGGTTCAAGGGGGCTGGGCAGGTGGCTCAGTGGTAGAGCGCTCACCTCGCATGCATGAGGCCCTGGGTTCGATTCCTCAGTAGCACATACACAGGAAAAGCCAGAAGTGGCGCTGTGGCTCAAGTGGTAGAGCGCCAGCCAGCCTTGAGCAAAAGAAGCTCAGGGACAGCGCCCAGGCCCTGAGTTCGAGACCCAGGACCGACAGCAACAACAAATGCCGTAAACTCATTAATGGTACGTTGCAACATGGAAGCAAAATCACAGGCCCAAGTCCTGAATGTTAAATACAAGATGTTGTTCCCGTTGGACGTGGGACCCGTAGGTGATTTTTTATTTTACTTATTTATTTGTTCGTTTATTTGCTGGTCGTGCTCTTGAACTCAGGGCCGGGACACAGTCCCTGAGCTCTTCAGCTCAAGGCTGGCGCTCTACCCCTTGAGCCACCACGCCACTTCCAGCTTTTTGTGCACATGTGGTAACTGAGGAATCGAACCCAGGGCCTCATGCATGCTAGACAGGCCCCCTACCACTGAGCCACCTGCCCAGACCACCAGTGAGCTTTTCAGGGTGAGCTTTTAGGCTTCATCTCCAACACCCCAGAAGAACGTGTAGCAGTGTGCATGCCTTTAAGATGGTGGACCGCGTGCTTCCTGGCGCGATCTCCTCAGCTCTGCACCACGGCCGGGCTGTTCTCGCGTGCTGTAGAGTAACTGTGTCCCTTCTGTCCGTCTAGAGGTCTGGGGCTCAGTGCGCTCTTCTCCGCTCAGTGGCTAGGCGCGCTGTGTGCTGTCGGCCGGGCAAGCTGGGTCTCTGTGTCTCTGTCAGCCACTAACCTGTCTCCCACGTGTGGCTTCTTCCCCTCCAGCCGGAGGAGCTCACGCTGCTGCTCATTCAGCTGAGGCGGCAGCAGGCCGAACTGAGCAGCGTTCGGGAGCACACGCTAGCGCAGCTCATGCAGCTCAAGCTCCAGGCCCACAGCCCAAAGGTCAGCCCTGAGCACGTCCATCCGGCTCATCCGCCATCCCATCCACCCCCGGGTCGTAGCGGTCAGCCCCGGGTGGGCACCAGGGCCTCGGCACCACGAGGTCCCCTGGTGAGCTTTGGAGAAATCAGGCTTCTCTGGACAGGCGTAGGCTCCCGCCTGTCATCCCAGATACTCAGGAGGCTGAGATCTGAGGATCGCGGTTCAAAGCCAGCCCGGGCAGGAAAGTCCTTGAGACTCTGATCGCCAGTGAACCACTCAGAAAACCAGAAGTGGCGCTGTGGCTCAAATGGTAGAGCGCCAGCCTTGAGCTGAAGAGCTGAGGGACAGCGCCCAGGCCCTGAGTTCAGGCCCCATGACCGACCAAAAATAATAATAGTAATGATGATGATGTCTACATCTGCTAAAACAGCGAGAAGCCTTACTATTTCCAGCAAGCTGGAAATTAATGACTGAATAACCATCATCAAGTAACATACCCAAGCTTGCTAGTGTCATTGGTGCCAATGAACACAGAGGACTGTTTCTCAAAGGGTCCAAGGGCCTCCAGGGACGCGCACGCCGCCCCACTGAGGAATACTATATTGCCGGGAAGAAGGGCGCGGGCCACCTTTCCTACCTTGAGTCCGTAAAGCCAGAGAAGGGTGGGTTCCCATCCCCCACCCCCCGCCGTGGCAGACTCCTCAGGGCCCGGCTGAGTCATTGGGAGACACCATGAGCCACCCGCCATTGACCTCTTCCAGGGAGCATGCGCACACGGGCTGTGGTCTGTGGTCTCTGCTTCACCTTGGGCCTGTTCATGAATTCTGCATCCTCTCTCTCTCTCCTGTCTATCTGTCTGTCTGTCTGTCTGTCTCTTCTCTCCTCCTCCTCCTCCCATCCTCGGCGCCTCCCAGAACGAAATGCTTTCCCATCACCTGCAAAGGAACACCATGTATCTGGACCACCAGGTGGGACTCCGCGCTTCCTGACTGTAGTACCCGACCCGAGGGCGCAGCGCCCGTGAGCGGCCATGCTGGTTTTCCTCCAGCTGCCGACCGGGTTGGGGCCACTCCGGTGAACTCTTAACATGCGGCAGACAAAAGACACTGAGCAAGTGAATTTAGGGGTACACCTGGAAGTGGAGGAGGACTGTAGCCGTTCAGGTAGAGGGGTGTGCACGAACAGAGACCACCCCCCCCCAAAAGAAACAACTGCTGCTCCCTGAGATTGAGTCACAGGAAGGGACAGGTGCTCACGCCTGTAATCCCAGCTCCTCAGGAGGCTGAGGTCTGAGGATCGCAGTCTGAAGCCAGCCCAGGCAGGGGAGTCATTAGCAAAGCTGGGAGTGGAGCTCTGGTTCAAATGGTAAAGCACCAAAAAATAACCTGGATAAATAAAAATCAAGGGGCAGGAAGGCAGGGGGAGGAGCTGGTGTGGCGTGCTCTCCCCCGGAGCGTGGGGGACGGAGCGGTGGAGGAGCCCCTGGTAGCCTGGCCTTGCTCCCGACTGGCATCTCCTGCCTGGCTGGGCGTTGGGGCTTCACCACCGAGCAGAACCGGATCCTTAGCGCCCCTGGCAGCCCGGCAGCATTGTGGCTGCTGTTCAGAGACAGGGCCAGCAGCAGGACTGGCTTACTCCTCTTACACTGTGATCTGGTCCGGTACTAAATGAGGGCGCTGATGTTGTGAACCGCCATTTCTCTGAGCAAATGTGAAGCGAAAGCCCCTTCCGGTCCAGAGAGAATTGACTCTCCAAAGGTGATAGGAGACAGGCTTGCAGAATGTTCTAGAATGTTCTGTCTTTCTGGGAACACCACAGCCCGCACCTTCTTCTCTTTAAAGAGACGTTTTGCATTCGATGACCCTGTAGAAGGTGTGTTCTTCTTTAAGTGTTCATCCTAAAGAGAAACATGCTCGACATTTCCCACGAAACACCTTCATTGTGGTTAGTTGGAAAGTTCTAGAAACGAGCAGGTCTCCCATCCAAACTCCAGCATTCCCCGTAGAGAGGCTGCTGCTTGCCAGGCACCAGCGGCTCCCGCCTGTCATCCCAGTTACTCAGGAGGCTGGAGACTTGAGGATCGTGGTTCGAGGCCAGCCTGGGCAGGAAAGTCCATGAGACTCTGATCTCCAAGGAACCACCAGAAAACCAGACGTGGTGCTGTGGCTCAAGCAGTAGAGCACCAGCCTTGAGCTGAAGAGCTCAGGGCCTCGGCAATGTTCTTGAGCTTCTTTTGCTCAAGGCTGGCGCTCTACCACTTGAGCCACAGCACCACTTCTGGCCTTTTCTGCTTATGGGTACTGAGGAATCCAACCCCGGACTCCATGCATGGCTAGGTGAGCACTCTACCACCCAGCCACCTGCCCCGCCCCCCACGAGAAAACTCTCCATAGGACAGCATGGCACTGGTAGGCAGTGGAGTTGGCATTCTGCTTCTGTGGTCCTTCATGATGCTTTCATAGTAATTACGCTGTCCTCCTCGGGAGCAGTTACCCTGCCTCATCTTACTACTTGTCACCAGTGGCCACCTGCATTTCTGCCAGAAAGCAGCATTTTGTGCTGTGGGGCTTGCTTGTAGGAAGTTCAAAGTTCAGCCCCAACTCCCTGGCCCAGAGACACTCCACACTGAAAGAGTGCAGCCTATTTGACCCTATTATCTATTATACACACTTATACCTCAACTCAGACACTGGAGGGGAGTGTGCTCCAAACACATCCCTGCGGCTCACACCTGTAATCCTAGCTCCTCAGAAGGCTTTTTGGTGGCTCAGTGGAGATAAAGGGTCTCCCAGTCTCTCCCACCCGAGCTGGCCTCGAACCACGATCCTCGAATCCCAGCCTACTGAGTCGCTGGGCTGACATGGCGCCACATTTGGCCAAGTGAGAGGAGAGCTTTGCTTAGAGGCGAGTGATCGAGAACCACCCAGCTAGAAATGGGAACAGGGCTTCCAGAGCAGAGGCCTTAGGTTGAGTGATTCTCTACAGTCTTAGGCGGAAACATTTGTTCTAATGGAGAATCATTACCTAAGTCACAAGGCTACAGTAGAGGACAGAGCTGTGTTCTGATGAAGCTTAGTTTGAGAAGAAAACCCCGACTCTTCTTCCCATTTACGACGATCGTTTTCCTCCCAAGACTGTCCTTGGCTGTTGGGGTGCTTGTATCCGTAGGGCTGGTCGTGAACTGTAGCGCTGGGGTTCGCCCGTGGGGTTGTAGGGGTGCAGCCTCCAGTTCTCGGGGCAGCTGTTGATGGAAACTTGTGCTGTGCCATGCCCTGGCGGGAGGCGTGGCGTGGAAGAGGTTATTGACAGTGTCGTCTCTCCGATCCAGCCGTAAACTGACGCTTGCCGTCTGTTCCTCCTGATTTGAACTAGATGAAGGAGAACGAACCGGTTATCACCATGGTACACACCATGATCGAGAACTCGGCGCTCAGACCGCAGCTGTACCAGCAAGTAAGGTGTTGGACAGTGAATGACTGGACCCCGCTTGGCTCTTGTGTGTGGCGTCCTCCCTGCCTCCAGGGGGCGCTCCCGCCTCATCCACGCTTTCTGGGCATGGCTTGGCTCTCCATCCTGATTGTTCCTGGGCCATTGAACTGTTACTGTTAAAAGACGGCTTTTGGGGTAGGAATTGTTATCACCTGGCTTCTCTCCTCCAGGGGGGGCCATTTCTTAACACAGGAGGGGGGTGCCTTCCTGTCCTCCTAACCACTCAGGAGGCTGAAATCTGAGGCTCACAGTTCAAAGCCAGCCCGGGCAGGCTCGTTTATGACACGCCTATCTCCAGTGAACCAGCAAAAAGGCAGAAGTGGGGCTGTGGCTCGAGTGGTAGAGCACCAGCCATGGGTGTAAAAGCTCAGGGACAGCGCCCAGGCCCTGAGTTCAAGTCCCCAGGACACGGGCATGTGATTATGATAGAGAGATAGATAGGCATGCATACACACACACACACACACACACATACGGGCTGGGCAGGTGGCTCAGTGGTAGAGTGCTCGCCTAGCATGCATGAAGTCCTGGGTTCGATTCCTTAATACCACAGACAGAGAAAAATCTGGAAGTGGTGCTGTGGCTCACGTGGGAAAGTAAAAGAAGCCCAGCCCTGGCAATACATACATACCTAATTGATAGATAACTGGGTAGATGATAGATGGATGGATGGATGGATTGATACATAGATGGTTAGATGTTAGATACATACAGAGATGGTTAGAGACATTGGATGGATAGATGGATGGATGGATGGATTGATACATAGATGCGTAGATGGTTAGAGATATTGGATGGGTGGATGGATAGACAGATTGGATGGATAGATACATACATACATAGGTTGGATGGATAGATAGGTAGATTGGATAGGTAGGTAGGTAGATGGTCAGATAGGACAGACAGACAGCTCAGGAGGTTGGCTGGCTTTTCTAGGCACCCTGTGCTGGTCGCCGCGTCGTGTAAGTGTACGTTTCCACCCGTCGCTCTGTCTGTCTGGTCGTCCTGTCCCTGACATCACAGCTGTGTGTCCACCATCCGTGTGTCCCCCACAGCATCCGCACTGCGCTCTGGCCTGCCGCCATCTTCCACCACCACACCGAGGAGAAACGCGCTGCCTCTTATGAAAAATGAATGTGGGGTTGGGGAGGGGTCTGAGGCCGGGCCGGGACAGGGCTTATAAAGGGCTGGGAAGTCTTCCCGGTTCCCTAAGGAGACAGCCACAAAACGGTGGCACAGAAGCCGGACCTGGTGGCTCCCGCCTGTCATCCCGGCTGCTCAGGAGGCTGAGAGCTGAGGATCGCAGTCCAAGGCCAGCCCAGGGCAGGCAAAGTCCGTGAGACTCTGATCTCCCATGAACCACCAGAAAACCGGAAGTGGCGCTGTGGCTCACATGGTAGAGCGCCAGCCTTGAGCTGAAGAGCTGAGGGGCAGCGCCCAGGCCCTGAGTTCAAGACCCACGACCAACAACAACAAAAAGTCACCCGATTATAAAACACTGACACCACTGGCAACACATAGAGTGTTTTCAAGTCTCTCCATACCCCGGTTTTATGGAATGCTGAGTTGAGATCAAAGGCATTTTGGTGTGCGGGATAGGTGGCGTTTTCTCTTCCATGCTGTTACGTCATTTATTGCATTTTATTGCATTTTGCTGGTTTTCCTTTCTGCCGTCACCCGTGGTTAGTGCCAGCGATGCAGTACTGGTAGCCTTGGATTCTTCGGTCGTTTGTTTTGTTGTGGCGGTGCTGCTGGGGAGCGGGGGGGGG